AGAGAGAGAGAGAGAGAGAGAGAGAGAGGGTTAGGTAGGGACCTCCCCAACCCACCTACACCAGCTCCACAGCTCAGGAACCCCATGGAGTTGGACAGGGAAAGTCGCCCCGCTTCCTGAAACCAGTATCGCCCTGCACAGACTGGGATTGTAACTGGGACAGTGTCTGCAGGGAGCGGACACCTTAGCCTGTGTGAGACAACTGCCCCCACTTTGGGATGCCAAGTAACAGGGGAGAAGTTCCTCCCATTGGGGGTGATTGATTCTCTGGGACAAGACCCCCCCTGCATGGGTGGGGATGGAACAAGGGGCAGGACAGACTCGAGGTCAGCACAGCTGGAAGATTTTTGTACCTCAGCTCTGCCCTGGAGGTGCTGCTGGATGGCCCTGATGGTGTCTTGTTCAGGGGACACATCCTCCTCCTCCTCCTTCTCCTCCTCCTCCTCCTCAACCCACTCCAGCTGGGCACTGGGGGTCTCTGCACCAGGGAGAGAAGGAGAAAGGATAATCCCTGCTGCCACTGGGGGGATGCAGTTTAGAGAAATGGTTCAATGTTCCCCATCCTCAACAAGGAACCCCATGGCATAGAGGGCCCCACCCTGCCCCTCCCAGAGACGCCCTCAGGCTCATCAGCCCCCCCGCCCCCAATATCATCAGGGGAGGCTGGAGCTCCCCCGACTCTGCCCAGCATCCCCTGTCACAGGGTGTGGCTGTGCCACTCCCACTGGTGTTTGTGGGGCTCCCGTGGCTCAGTCCTGGCGCCTTGGTGAGCCAATGGGCATAGGGTGTTACTAGTCCCCCACCACCCCTGTCTTTCCCCCTGTCCCCCTGGGTCTCTCCTCACCTGCAAAGAGGGAGCCTTCAGCCTCAGGACTGTCAGACCCCACGGAGGAGCTTCTGGCCCCTCGGGAATAGGCAGAGCTGCTGGTTCCCGTGCCAGAGTCGCCCAGCTCCTGCAGTGGGCCAGCTGGAGGGCTCCTCAGTGGCCAGGCTGGTGGATGGCTCCTGCTGGGCCCTGGGGCTGGGCTCCTGGCTCCTCTGCTTCCTGTAAAGGAAGCCGCAGAGCCACCTTGCCCGGCTCCCACCCTCTCCTGGGTCCCTCCTACATAGCATCACCCTGGGCCACCTCCATTTGGGACCAGAAGGTGCCTCAGGGCCTGCTAAAGGAGCTGGTGTTTTTCTCTTCCTCCAGAAGGTCAGGGAGTTCCTCTGCTTTGCCTGCTCACTGGCCTCTTCCCCGCCTGCGGGGACAGAGGAGCCGCTCTCCTTCTGGGCAAGACGGACGGTGCTCCCTACTGGCTCCGGAGCCACCTGCCCAGCCTTCCTCCTGAGCATCTGCTTCAGCCTCTTCATCCTGGAACTGAGTGGGGAGCAGCCATGAGTCTGGGCTCAAGGCAGCCTCTCATTAACGGGCCTGCCTGCTCCCCTGCCCACGTCCCCTCTGCTGAGGCAATTCCTCCTCACCACACACCCCACCCCAGGGCAGGGGGCTGCTGTCCACACACACTGCCAGCCGCTCACAGCACATGCTGCTCCCAACGTTCCCCCTCACCAATGATACTGAGAGAGTCTCGTCCTTTCAGAGCAATGGGGCTCTCTGTTAGTTTGGACAAGCAGCTCCCTCCACCCCAGTAGGCCCCACTCCCTCCCAGGCCAGAGAAAGAGCAGAAACCGTATAGTCCCCAACAAAAGTTCGTTCACAAAGTGCCAATCCTAGGAGGGAGGAGTCGCCCTCAGTTCCCACTGATTTCACTGATTGCGGTTGTGGGTGTTCAGCACCTGGCAGGTTCTGCCCTTCCCAAAGACTCTCGACGTGGGGAACAATCTCCTGCAAGGGAAGGGCTGGGAGCCCTATTGCTGGGCCATTCCCACCACACTGGGGATGGCTCTGGAGAACTCCACTCACTTGCTCTAGATGGGAAAGAGTTGGATGGCAGATGCTCTCTTCCTCGATCTCCTGCACCCAGGTGGGCTGGAAAGGGTGCTGCACAATGCCCTGCCAGCAGGGTAGGGGGTAGAAGCCAGGAGATCGAAAGTGGCTGTGAAAACAAGACGATGTTTTATTGCCAGGGGATGGATAAACTCAGCCTAGCAACTCAGGTTTCACAACACTGACCTACGGTCAGCAGGACACCTCCCATCTCCAGGTCTCCTAGTACCTCATGCACATTCCTGAAGCATGACGGCCCAAGGGCTCTAGGGCAGTATCCCCAGCCCCACTGATGGAAACAGAGGCCTTGGCAGGAGAAGCCACTGCCTCAGAGTCGCACTGGGAGTCAGGTATAGAGCGGGGATAGAACCTTTGTCCAGGCTCCCGCACTAACCACCAGAGGAACACTCCCTTCCAGAGCTGGGAAGTGCCAGCGGGACTCTATTCCCAGTCTCCCTGGCTCTGAGTGTGACCTATGGAGGGGGTGGAATCTTCATCCTTAGAGATTTGTAAGGTCCAGCTTGACAAAAAATTTTTATCCCCGATAGGTTTGTTAAAGAAACAAACTGTTTTTAAATTTACATTTTAAAAATCCAGTATAAATAAAAAAAAATCCTTTTGGGGGTTTTTTGGTTTTGAAATAGCCATTGATTGGTATTCACCTTGATTTTAGAAGAACTACTTCATTCGAGTCAAGCATAAACTGCTCATATTCTCTTTAACTAGAGTTCCGGACACCTGTTTGCCTAAGACTGAGCAATAAGGCACAATAAATTACTGAGATGAATTTTGCTGCCTCCTCTCCTTTAAGAGAATATGAGCAGTTTATGA